ATCCAATATAACTAATATATTAAATAACTTCTTCATTCCTTGTTTTTTCTGATATTCAATTATTTTATTTTGAGTTTCTAAAACTCTTTCTAAATCTTCAACATTGAACTCATCCCACCAACACGGTTCTTTATCATTATCTACTTTCAAACCTTCCTTAATGTATTTCTTCACTGGCAACCAAATACTATCCAAATTTACAGATGGAGACCAGATAAAAATTCTTTCAAATGCACCTCTATAAATATCAAGTATCATTGATACAAGTAAAGTTGATTTTCCACTTCCAGATGGTCCGACAATCATAGCTCTCATAGGCAATTTAGGGACAACCTCATGCTTACTTTGCTTAAAGTCATATTTGATTTCATCAATTGGTTTTACATCAGGCATAATAAAAATAATATTATAAATACTTATAAAATAAAGAATATAATATAAGTATATCATAATGGCAATAGACTCTATTAATTTAAGTGAAGTGGCTAGTATTCGGAGGATATATAAATTTGGTGATATCTTAGTGCCCGACACTGAACAAATATATTATGATACGATGTTATACTTTTTATCGGCAATTAAAAAACAAAATATCGTAGTATCCAAGTCCTCAATTGAAAATGACAATAACCTAGATTTTAATTTTAGAAAGTTACTAAATTTTATGAAAGATTATCCCGATATGTATACAAATGAAATGATAAATAGTGTAGAAGAAGTTATTGGTATTAATATTAAAGATGTTAGTCTATCAACTGCAATAAAACTTACTAAAGAAAATAGTTTAAATACATATTCTATTTAATATTAAATGGAACGGGATTTCCATTGCTTCAATCAATGAGCGTTGAAGCTAATTAGTTTGATGCATTGTAAAGAAAACCCCAAGTGCTGTGCCCTCCGAATATTCTATCATGCATGAAAACAATAAGATTAAATAACTATTTTATCTTATTATTTATATGAATAGGAGTTATTCAAATTATATTAATATAATAGATGAAGTAGAAAATATAGAACAAGTAATAATTACTGACAATAAAATAAAAAATGCTGTTATTATTCATTGGAAATACTTAAGCTAGGAATACAATACATCAAAAATAAAAATGTCAATGTTAATATAAATGGTAAAAAAGAAAAAGAAAAACAAAAATAAGACAGGTTTAAGTGTTTCTTCAACAGATGAAGATAGCGGAGAAATTGTTAAAGAAACAGCAGTATTTGAGGTTGCTTGTCCTATGTGCAAAAAGATGTTAGCACTTAAAAATGAGTTAGAAATACAAAAGAAAGGAAGTTGTAAATGTTCATGTATTCCAACAAGTTTCAAAATAAGTAAAAATGATAAGAAAATGAATATTGATAAAACTAAAGACAGTATCAACTTAGAAACTGATGTCCATAATATAACTTTTAAATGGGGTAAGGATGCATCACTCTCGGAAAATGGTGATAATGAAGCGCAGGAAACTATTAAACAAATGATGAAAAATTAGTGTTTAAAGAGTAGGTTTAACATAATTGCACTTTATAAATATATATAATTAAATAAATAAATATCTAATCATTTGTATAATCATAATGCCAACTATGAATGGAGAAGACCATAGAATTATAAGTTTTGACGATGAAGAAATTAAAGACCTATTCAATGGTGATGAAAACTTTGCTAAACAATTGAGTGAAGAATATTTTTATGGTTTGATGCTAAATTCAGCGATAAATATTTTATGAAAGGTATAACTAAACCAGATAACTTTGGAAAAATATTGAAATTTTTTGAAATTACAGGTGACGAGGAAGGTTTGATACAAATGAAAAATAAAATTGATGAAAGACTCTTAGAATATAATTTATTTACATCTATAACATTAAATTATTCAGGTAAATTGTATAATTAAATAAATAATTATCTAAATAAATATATAGTAATGTCTGAAAATGAGAATTATACTATTAATGATTTAATGAAGAAGATAACATTAATTGGTAAAAATATCAAAACCTTAAATGATATGATTAAATCCATTGATGACAAAATGAAACCAGTTGAACGCAATGAAGATAAAGAAAAAATCGAAAATATATTTCAAGCAAAATCTATAGGAAGACCAACGGGTGATTATCCTACAAAACAAAAGAAATATTGTGATATGTTGAATACAGGAAAAATCAAACAACCTAAAAGCACCACTTTATAATTGTGTAAAATTTCAACAAATGATGATGGAGTATATGTATTGTTTGAATAATACATATCTAAGTAATTCTAATAATATGAATTTATTAGAATTATTTAGCAAGAAGCCCTATATAAAATACCTAGTGGTTTGATACTTGAAGTTTTGATGAGTTTGATGGATTAAGGATTTTGAGTTTGGAGTTGGAAGTATCAGGTGTGCGATACTGGTAGTATCATTTGAATGATACTGGTAGTATCATTTGAACGATACTGGTAGTATCATTTGAACGATACTGGTAGCAGTATATAGCTTTAACATACTATGATTATAACATTTATACCCTTATATGTTATAATTATAATGTAAGTATAGCGTTTTATATATTGAAGATAAAATCCTACAAGGAGCACCACGCCTATTAAAATATATGATGAAGCTGATGAAACGAAGGAGGAGAGGTTTTTCATAAAATCAATATTTATGATTAAATCTTTGAAAATGACTTAAAGGAATAAAGACTCAATATAATAAGAGGAGAATGCCAATGATAGGAGTGACAGAAAAAGAGCTGGAACAGGATAGAAAGATAATATTGAGTTTCATTAAGGATAATCCCTATCCATCGTATACACAAGTCATTGAAATAATTAAAAACGATAAAACAATGAAAGGTATATATCTAGATATGTTTGCTGAGTATGGAGAACAAAATCATCAATGGATAAAAGGGATTTACGAAAACATAATGAAAGAAGAACTCGTTAAACATAATGGTAATAGTATTAATGAAAGAGGAGGAATGACAGCAATGCAGTTTAATTACCATACTTTGATATCAGTGTTACGTTATTTAATACAACAAAGAGCACCAATGAAAGGTTATGCCGTTACCTTAATCTGGTATAATATCAGAAACACTTTGAGCATTTCTTGGAACAACATAGGAGACTGGAAACACTAAAACAGGTTTAATCATACTATGATTATCACATGTAAAATATTATATGATATAATTGTAATATATTTATCGTTTGTAAAGATTGAATTATTATATTTTCCTAATTTGCTTATCTCTTTCAAAGTGCGTTGTTTAGACTTGGTATGCTTCTTCAATTGTTTCGTGCTTTGGCTGTTTGTTTTTGTTTTGTTTGATACTCTTGTGATATTTTTTGTTGGTATGTTGCTTTGTTTTTTGTTGCTGTGTGTTTTTGAGTTGAGTGTCTTTGATGGTTTAGAGTGTTGCTGTTTTGTTGGTATGCTGGTTTCAATTATTTAATGTTGTATGCTGTGATTAAATATTTTTGTTGCTGGTTGTGATTATTTATTTTGTTTGCTTGTTGTTCTGGATTTTGTTTTCTAGTTATTGTGTTGCTGTTGGAAAAAATTGTAGAAAGAATAATTCTTTGAATTCTCCTTTTACTATTTTTTAGGGGCAGGCGCTGTCCGGCTGTGTGCCTGTCGCTCCATCCATCCATCCATCCATCCATCCATCCGTTGAAAGAGGTTAACGGCATGAATTACGAGTCCGTAATTGAGGCAATACAATATTCTATGTGTACTGGTTTTCCATGTATATATATATACATATATGATTGTTACCAGTATAGCCGGCGAGCGGATAAAAAACAATGGCTCGGAGAGCGTTGCGTTTCCCTTCTTTATGTGTTTCTTTATCCTTATCTTTCCCATTCCCATTCCCTTTCCCTGCTCCTCTTCCTCTTTCTTTTTATGTTTCTGTGGCTCTGTCTCCTTGTCTTTCTCTTTTTCCTTCTCTTTGTTGCTCTGAACCCAGCGCAGAAAGAATCAAAGTCATGCTAAACTATCACTATCACCCAACGTAGTGAAGCCTGGACTGAGAGAGCGAAGGTTGTGACCTGTAACGCTTGATTGCTAGTTTTGTGCGTGCGTGGTAGTGGATGTGTGATGAGATGTCAAGGCGTGACGTGTGTGCAGCATGCTCAAGCCACTAAAGTAACTTTGTTTGAGCTAAGGAAACATGGTCGCGAAAGAAGCGTTGTGCGCACAGCAAGCAGACGCGGTGAACCGACACTTTTGCTTGTAGAAGCGCGGCTGTTCGAAGCAGCAACAATCCAACATTATTGCACTATCTGCCCCCATTCATCCAAATCAAACTTTATGATAAACACAAGTTAGAAGATTGACGCTGTATTTTGCGATAGAACGCGAGGCACAAGTTAGAAGATTAACGCTGTATTACAGCGAAAGAACGCGAGATAGCAAAAGCCAATCAATAAACAAGGCCACAGGTACCTGTTTTGACGTCTGTGTTTAGTACGGCCGCTGGACAAAGACGCATGGTAATTCCCAACGATTTCCCAAACGGCCAAAGGGGGAATTTCAAAATTACTGGCAGTGCCAAAAGTGGGGGACTTGCTGGCTTGTGGGACACGCGGGACCTGTGGGGCATGCAGGGGGAAAATCCAACCCGACGCAAGATAGCCTCAGGAGCCTTTATTCTTTGTGGAGGGCTGTTTTGCTCCCTCCGGAAGAATGGTGCGCAATTTGCGGGAGATTTCAATTTGCAAGCAGGAAGCTCGCAAGTATGGTTTTTAGGCACTTGGCTCCCGGTGGCACAAGGGCAAAGGAGAAGAGCTCAAGAACTTAGCCTTTGAGGAGGGCCCAGCTTATCTTAGTACACGTCTGCGTGTTGCAGTTTCCTGAGCACATGCAAGTTGCTTGATGCCTTCGGGCTTTTTGATCTCCAGAAAGATCTGTTGATGCTGGAAAAAGTTGTTGCGTAGACCCTTTAGAGCTGTTCCAGCCAAAGCATGACCACCTGTTACAAGCTGGCACCAGGCAGTCGCAGCCGCGCATGGCGAAGATCTAGCATCAGATCGGGGCCCAGTTGGCAATGGGCAAACAAACAGAGCAGGTTTGACTGAACCAGTTGCGCATTTGCAGTTCACGAATCGAAGGTCAACGTAGTTGACACGGCCAAGGTACAGACGTTTGCATTGCGAGCAATCGTGCTGACTAGTTTCGAATCTGAGATTTCGTTTAGCAACTTTGCCCCCCGTTGAAGCGCAATGAATGCCTTCGCCATCTATGTAGGTGGCATGCTCGCCCCTCTCTTTCGGGCTTTGTTCCTGCTGCGTGCTGGGTCTCTAGAACTACTGTGCATTGCTCTTTCCAGAATCTTATATCGTACAACCTGTGTTTTGAAAACTTCTGAAGGTATTCCGCCACACTGAATTCGGTGCACAGCACACACTACGCATGGCCTCGAGTTTGGGGTGACCCGACGCTCAGCCGTATTATGTCATTGTTGCCAAAGACTCTGCCAAGGACCCTGCCAATGACACGGCAACAAGCTTGCCAACATTCCGAAATCCGATTCCCAAGGTCCTTCTTCCCAACAAGGCTGATGTCATTGTCCGCAAGGATGGGACATTGAAGCAGTTGCTGCTTTGTGGCGCCCAACATGAATTGCAGTGTCCATGAGCTTCCTTTTGACCAGGCAGGAGGAGGGAGCAACCTCCAGTTTATATTCATCAATTCGGAGTGCCTTTTTGCGTGGATCCCAACCCTCATCTCCTTCGCCTGGCCAACTGCTTGAGACGCTGCAGGTCCAGCTAGATGGCAAGGCCGATATGGGCGTGGTGCAATCCTTAGCATGTGCTTTGGAATCAATCAGAGGACAGCTGTGCTCTGTTTGAAAGCAAGGGAGAGCTCATGCCGACTCTTTTGGCTTTGTGGAAGGCAGGGCATTTCGGAAATCCTGTTGACACATTGACGATTCACTGTTCTTTGCATGTTTGCTGGTTGTTTAGTTTGTTGGCTCTGTTCATTGTTCATGGAGGGGTTCTTTTGCAGTTCTGAGTATCCTTCAAGACGATCCCCAATGTATTTCTATCACCAACTCTGTTGAACTCTTGACGCACGCCGCACGCCGCACGGCAGACATGGTTCGAGCCTGATTTCCGGCCACCCCCCCGAAATGAGAAAGCAAGCACAAAAGTGCGGGACGCTTTCCAGCCCGTAAGCAATAAACATCATTCCGTTTACTATTCAAGGGAGCCCTGAAACCACAACCGTGTGGCAACGCGTGTTGGCGTTCGCTGCCGAAGCGAGGCGCTACGTTCAATGTTATGCTTAGGCCAAACATTGAGCTCAGACTTTGTGCAATTGAGAGGCACCAGGCAGTTTACACACGTAGAGGACTTTGTGTCAATCCGTTTCTCATACATCAGATAGCAGTGAATTAAAGTGCTTTCGGGATCTCGCCGAGAACACAGCAGAAGGAAGCGGGCGCCTCGGCAGGTAGGAGCGGAAGCTATGTTGCCCTCTGTGGTGATACAGAGGCTTTGCACCCGTTTTACTTCCCATTTTGCTTCCGGAAATCAGCAACCCCGTGAGGCCAGTGGCAAAATTTATCTTTGGCGGGGCCAATGTAATGGCTGGGAGCTCAGAGGAATTGACCATACCACTTGGAGGTTTGGGCCAAAGAATTGCACTCACACTATGCCATTGGCTTTCCAGGCACCTGGCATCCACTCCGTCTTGCCTTGCAAAGGCGAAGGGTTCTAGTTTGCGGGGTGAAGCTCGAAACAGCTGCACAGGTGAAGTGGCAAGAGAGGGCCGCCTTGTCGCAGTGCGCGCTGAAGGTGAACTCATGACTTTGATTTGTCAAAGTGGCCAAATTCACCAAGTTCTTGTTCTTGCCCTTGTTCTTAGCAGGCTTTTTGATGCGGCACGAAGGCAATCCAGGGGCTGCTGCAGTAGGAAGACTTCGAATGCCAGCAGCCTCTTTGCCGGGACCGAAGACGAAGCCTTAGGAAGACTTTGACAGAAGCTGCAGCTGCTACATTGCCGTCAAGCACTGCCATACTTGGGATAGGAATGTGCCAGGGGTGAAGCAGTGGAGGTCCTGCACTACTTTGGCGATGCCTTTTGGGAGGCGAGCCATGTTGCAGCATTTGCAAGACCGCATCCAACCTGTGACATGTGACAGGCCATGGGCAGCCCGCGGCCTGCTGGATTCGTAGGCCTGTCGTGAATTGACCTTGGCCGTGCAACGTTGTGCTGCAGCAAGGCGATCAAATCCATTCAACGTCCGACACGGCAGATGCTATTTCGGCACAGCCGGACGAAGCCGAAACAGCTGCGGCTGCAGAGGCTGAGGCCCCTGGTGAAGATCAGAGCAAAGCGAGCGGCCCTCAGTTGTCACCAAGAGCCTCAGTGATCAAGCAGATGCATGTGACAAACACGTGCAACGCCGATATCAAGCATCATGGCAGTACGACAGTTTGTTCATGCGCACAGTTGTTCATGCTGATTCGCCTCCTCCCCGCCAGCCCCCTACCCCTCCTCAACTTTTTGCAGCCCAAACTTGCTTTCCCTTAATCCGCATGTGTTTTGGAGGCTGTTCTGCTTTACAAGGATGCTCAGGCTCTCCGTGAAGAAAACTGACTCGCTAAGTGGGTTGCCGGTCAGGGAACAGAGTAGCCGAGTCATCCTGAAATTTTCAAGCTGGAGCGGGGAGGCTGGAGGGGGGGAGGCTAGTCACCTATGAGTTGTATCGAGGACCGAAAGCGCCATGGTCAAGGATTTAGAAGAGTGCCTATTGCAGGTCCAGTGTGTGTGTATGAATTGTGGCTAGTGCTGCCAACTGCATGCGCCGACATTTCACTTGAGCGGCATGACCTTCTTCATCTTTTGCAAGGCTCTGAAAGTTCGGATCAAAGACCGTGATTTGCGCGGCCCCAATCAATAGTCAGAAAGTCAATACAAAGCATGACGTGTGCAAGCGTGCAGCTCTTAGTTTGTCGCTGAATGTGGTGTTCCTAATACTCACCAAGGCCACTTGCTGGCAATGCGTTGTACGCACAACACATGAGACCATGCAGGAGGGCCTGTGGTCTGTGTTTTCCCCCAACACATTTGATGTTTGGGTTCTGGTTAGCTTGCATTTTGAGCAAGTGAACATCTTCAAGTGACCGGTCGCGCGTGCTCGCAAGCAACCCGCAGAAGCTTTTGGATTTCGTCTAGTGTTGTGCGTGAGGCGCCTTCCTCACCCAGCCAAGCATGTCGTTGTTCTAGTGCCGGGAATTTGGAAATGATGCACAGCACCGGATTCACACCATCTTCGGCCACTGTGGGCATGGCGTCAGGGGGTTTCCAGTGTTGGGGGGCTTTCATGTTGCCTGGATGTATGTACATGACAGTCCCTGTTTTGCCGCTTTGTTGATGGATTCTTGAGCTTGCGGAGGAGGGCTGGATCCAACATCGATGTCAAGGTATGCAGTCTTCTCTTTTGTGGGAAGGTGTGAGGCCAGAGCACTCCTGTGAGGCAAGCTCCTTCAAGAAGTTGAGTACCTTCCTCTCGCATGCTGAGGCGCACTTTTTGCTGACGTGTGATGCGCGTGCATGGGACTCTAGGATGCCACATTCTCAACTCAACTGAGTTCAACTCAGCACCAGGAAAAGGGTTGGCTTGCCTTGAAGAAGAACTCTGCGGATCCAGTGGTCACAAGGCTTTGTACCAGCTTCGTTGTAGCTCTCAGTTGGCATGAAACCTTCAGCCAAAGGATCTTCCGCGATCACCCAGATTTGGTGGGCTGGAAGCCATGGCCAAAGCATGTTCCAGCCTCAGTCAAGCAGTCAGAATCATGGTTGACGCTTGCCCCAATGACAACTTCACCACTAGCATGCTTCCAACCAATGGCCGACATTGGTCTTGGCTAGACTTGCTTGTTGCATATGGTTGTGCCAGTAGTTTTTGGCTTTTGGCAGATTCTTAAAACTTTATAATGCCGCAGGCCGCACTGGACCTTGCAATTGCCCACTGGCTACACAGCAATCACGCCAACGGCACGCAAATCCTTCTCTTGCTTCAGACTTCAATAACTAGTGGGCTCAACGCATGTTCATTTGAGGGGAGAGTCCCAGCCATCGGTTGACCCCTTCAACACCAGGTCTTCCTCATCTATAACTGCTAAGGGCCCTTACCCATGACGTAGCTCCAGCGCGTCATGTTTGAGTTATGCAAGGTGACAGCAGAGGCAGAAGAAGGAGAAGGCAATGATGTGTTGGAAGGATGGCATCATTGCTAGATTGCAGTCTCCTTGCAAGGTCAAGAATCTTCTGCCCCCTCGGCCTCTATCCAGGTGCGCCGCATGACGATGATTGGATGATTCATGACATTGGAGTGCTATCAGATCGAGCTGGTCTGGAAAGTTGGCAAGCTGCCGCTTCTAGAGGCTGGCACTGGTTCATGAGCCCTGTGTTCGCGCCAGCCGACCTTTGCGACAGCCTACAGCCAGCTGTAGCTCATGAAGCTGGGAATGCATGAGCAGCCAAGCACGATTGACGCTTGTAAGGCATTGAAACTGGAAGCTCCTCAAGATGGCTGCTGGACACGCGATGAATGCGCAGAGCCAAGGATTCTTGTTGCCAGCTGATGTAGAAGCCGAATGGTTTTTGAAGGCACCGCAGCACTCAAGTCTTATGTGGATAGCCGCGAGCTATGGTCGAGCCTGCAAGAACCTGACATGTTGGCCAGCACAATGCTGGCATCATGCCAGGTTGAAGAACAACCGCAAGCGCATTGGCATGGATGCGCTGCTTACTAGTTTTTTGGCATTCGAGGAGGAGAGGAGATGTCTTGCCAAAACCAAACTGGTGTAAAGACTCCATCCGCTTTAATCACACTTGACACACTTGCCACGCTTGAGACAGCCTGATACAACTGACACATTTGGTACACTCGATACACTTGACACGCACTATGCACGCGCACATCCACGCAGGCACAGAGGCACACGCGGCAGCCACGCAATCAAGCTCACACAACCACTTTGATCAAGCTTACAATCACGAACAGGCAGAGCCACACAGTCAATCGCACGCAACATCATGGACAGAACTTGACACAACCATTCAGAATCGCAGAACCGCCTGCCGCAGCCCACTCGATAACGCGATCAATACACATCGCTGCTCACAGTCACAAAGTCACGAATCACCATACAGACTCTCAATCTCTCGCCCAATCACGAGCATAGCCACTCACAAGCTGAGCTGGGAAGCACGTGCACAATCACTCACATAAGCACTTGCAAAAGTAGAGACACGCAAGACCTTGCAGTTAACCACGAGCAGGATCACGACCATACCCGCTTAATTACACATCGCAGAATTAAGCGCAGCAACACACTTGATCATGCGTAACAATCATGTACAACTGTGCGCCCAATCACACGCACAGATACAGCCATACATGACATGCTCAACATGCATGTTCCACTTCGACAAGAAAGCAAACCTGTCATCCACTCTGAGCCAAGCCTGCTGCTTGCAGGCTCCATCAGCATCCTTCTCTTTGGAGAGCCTCTCTGACCTCTTGCTGAGGAATGTCACATTGAAGGAGCGCCATTTGTACATTGAGTGCATGTAGGACCTTGCCTGCATGCCACAGGGTGACTGCGCCGAAGCCCGGCTCAGTTTCACACCATTGCACCGGCATTTCTTCGACGGATATCACCAAAGTCATTTCAGTTGTGCCCGATGCTGAGGAAAGGTGGCGCAGCTGGCGGTTTCAAACAATATGTCCGACCAGGAAAGCCACCCACCGTGCAGGCGGAAACTCGTAGCGGTGTTTGTGGGTTTGTGAATTGCCTGTTCAAGTGCACACAACAAGCCGCCTCCTTTAAGGCTTGTCTTTGCTTGTTTGTGGCTTGTTTACCTGTAAACGCGCGCTTTTCAGCGCACGTTCCCCATTGGCGCGGCTGCAAAGTGCATATGTTGGTGCCAAAGGCAGCTTCATCCTTCTACAGCCATGGATCCAACATGGTTCATGACTGACGGGGAGTTGATTAATACAAGCAACAAAACATGCATTTCGTAGATAAATTCACGGTGTTCGGCGCGTCAGCGTATCTCACCGCTCTTTCCGCAATGGCACCGCCGCCAACCGCATTTTCTGTGCAAACTGAGTTAGCACACCCCGGTATCCATGCCTGGCCAGATAGGAAGCACAGCCTCTCACGCGGGCCGGCTCAGCCCTCATCCCATGCCTGCCAGGCGGTATGTGCACCCGCTCATGCGCACCTGCTCAGCCTTCTATCCATGGCTGCCACACGGGAAGCACACCCGCTTAGTCACACCCGCGCAGGAGCTTGCTCAAAAAGACTTGGACATGTACTGGTGTTTCACTTTTTGAGCGCTCGCGCAGCCATGCGGGTGCGCCTGGGCGAGTGCGCTTAGCATCTGGCAGGCATGCAAAAAGGCTTCAAGGTCTCCTCACGGGGAACTCTGGCTTGTTTTTCGCGCTTGCTTGTGCTGCTTCGATCAATTTGTAGACCATGTAGACCCGAGTAGTGGGTCTTAACGTGCATGTCCAACAGTAAAAAAGGTGCCCATTTGGAACGCCTGTAATGCGCCGCCTTTTCGGGTCAGATTGTGTCCTTGCTGTCCCAACTGCGTCGGGGCAGCCTTGCAGCGCCGCGTTCGGGAGCAGCGCCCTGGCCACGGGAGGGGTGCTGGGCAGGGTCTATGCCTCTGACTCCGCCCACGTCCGGCGCCACTGCAACTCGGCAGGCTGGGAGCGTGGCTCAGCACGCTCAAGGGCAAGCGGAGCGCGTTGGGTAATTAACCTCAACGGCAGCCTCCGGGATTCGGTTGGTTCCTTGGTGGTGCGGCTTCCACCGCCGAGCAACACCGTGGCTCGGGCCGCCGACTCGCAGGGAAGACCCAAAACCGGTTCTGAAGGATGGGGAAAGCGCGCGCAAAGGTGAGGATCGCTGGACACCGCCAAGTTGGAAGGAGTTCGTTCGCCTCCTTTTGTAGCGCATTCGCATTGCAGCGTGCCTCTCTAGACGCGTTGACATGGTCGCCTGCCTTGGCTCCTCCGAGCCAACCCGGCGACAGCGTAACAATAATCATTACTGTAAGCTTGTCACATTAGAATGTGTGCTGTACCGCAGTCACCACCAGTTGCGCACACCACCCAAGCATACCGTCCCTGAAGTCTTGAGAACTTTACCACCTTCGGTTTTCACCCCCCCTCCCCTCGTCCCAGCTTTTTCGCGATATGCGTTGAGGATCCTTTGCCAAGGAGAACAACACCATTCAGCTAAATTTCAGCACACCTGGCATGGAAGGGTCAACTGCAACTGCTTGCATGGAAAGGTGCTACGGTAGCTACAATGATACAAATTATATATTTAACACCAAGATGGCTCACAGGGGGTGAGCAAGACCACTCCGAGCCTGAAAGGTTGACATAGCAAATACTCTCTACAGCCCTGCTTCAAGCCCTGCGCTCAAACTAGTGTAGCCATTCACCACAATATGTTGGCACGCCTGGCATCGCGCTATGCGCTGCGCCACTTACGAGGTGAGCAGAAGGCAATCAGAAAGTCAATTATCACGATGACATTTATGGCCCAGAGGTTCATGAGTTAGGTTCTCATGTTGCAAGTGTAGAATACCCCAAGGTACAAGACGAATGGCATGTCCGCATGTCATTGATTTGGCTCAAGACAAAAAGGCGCGCGTTGCGCGCGTTTGCCCAAGGTTAAGGGAGAGGTTGCAGTCACGGCGGGGTTCGTTCCTTTTAAGGTCCCGGGTCCCCCGTTGTTGAGAAAACTGTGTTTCCCT